GCTCCATAATCATCATTTTCAAGAACTTAGCTCCAATATCCACCATTCCGGAATTACATAGCCCGATGACTATAGAATGCCAAGTAAATTTATCGGGAATAAAACCACTTTTCAAGATTGTTTTGTATAACCACAAACAACCAGAAATATCGTTTTTTGCTGAAAGCCCACGTAATAAAATATTATATGTAACCAAATTAGGCGACAAACTCGTGTTCTCCATCATTAACAGAATATTCTTCAAATTATCCACTTGTCCTAATCTCGAGTACGCACCAAGAACTGTATTAAGAGTAACCGTGTCAGCATTTTGACCACGCTTTACCATATCATGAAAAAAGTAAACCCCGGCTTGTGATTGGCCGATTTTCACAAGCCCGTTGATAATACTGGAATACATAAACTCGTTCGGACAAACATTTCCCCTTTCCAACAAAAGAATTGCGGTAACAACTCTTCCAGCTCTGCACAAACCAGCAACAAGACAGCCGTACGTATAACTATCCGGAAACACACTTCTTCGAACCATCTCATCTAAAAAGACCATCGCCGCCTTGAAATTCCCACGCTTACAAATCTCAGACAACATCGTATTGTAAGAAACTATGTCCGCGCCACACGGAACATTCCGGAGCTTACCAAAGAAGTTCACCGCCTCGTCGAAATTTCCACCTCTGCATAGTCCTTTCAGTAAACTTCCATAAGTGTACAATGTAGGATCATAACCAAATTTCACCATTTCGTCTAATAACCGAATTCCTTTCATCCCATTTCCCACATTTGCATACCCGTTAATCATCGAATCGAATGTAACCGAATTAGGTTTAAGACCAAGCCCACGAATGTGGTCCATGAAAACCTCCGCAACCGCCACGTCACCGTTTCTGCAAAGAGTCGAAACCAACACATTACAGACGAAAAGATTAGCACGATGACCGCTCAGAAGCATCACCGAATAAATCTTGATTGCCTCGTTTACATCTCCCCTTCTGCATAAATTGTAAATCAACGTAGAGTACACAATGCTGTTCGGTTTCAGCCCGGATCGAAACATTTTGCAAATTATTTCCCTTGCGGAATTCATCTTCCCGACTCTACTAAACCCATTCACAAGAACCGAATACGTAACAATGTCGAGCTTTATTTTATCCTCCAACATTTTATCAAGAAACTGCACGGTTTTTGTTAGTGTCCCACTTTTGCACACTCCATCCATTAGCATAGTATAATACATCGTCGAATCAACACTAACACCATCCACCTTAATCTTCGCAAATAGTTTCTCTGCAGAATCGAACTTCCCGTGTTTGCATAGTCCGTTCAAAACGGTCCCATAAGTAACCTCGTTAGGCCTCAACCCCATTTCTTCCATTTTATTCATAACCTCAAAAGCTTCCACAAAATTGCCCGTTCGACAATGTCCATCGATCAACGCATTGTAAGTTATACAATTCGGCTTTACACTAACTTTACACATCTCATCGTAAAGTTTCAAAGCAACTGCGATTTTCCCCTCTTTAACGAATCCGCAAATAAGAGTATTATATGTGACTTCATTAGGGATTATCGTCCTCTTCCGCATCTTTTTCAACAGTAAATACCCTTTTGCACTTTTATTATTCTTACATAAATCGTCGACAAGCATATTATACGTAAAAACATCCGCTTCAATACCCCGTTTGCTCATGTGATCCAATAACGGAATAGCTTCTTTGTACCTACCTTTCTTGCAGTACCAATTTAAAACCGTATTATAACTCACGACGTTCGGTGCATAACCACTCTCCTCCATCTTTGTAAGTAAATAGCTCGCCTTTTTCAGTTTCCCGTCGCTGCAAAGCACATTCAAAACTATGTTAAATGTTCCTATGTTCGGACAAATACCCTTCCCGAGAATTTCTCCAAAAAACAACCACACGGACTCACTACGACCAAACTTCGCCATTGCAGAAAAAATCATATTACAAGTGTATATAGACGGCCGAAAACCCCTCGTACCCATCAAACGGAATATCCCTAAAGCATCATCGGTTGATCCCTTTCTTACATAAACCCTAATTAAAAGGTCGAAAACAGCAGGGTTCGAATTACAGAGGCGATAAGTCCCCATTAGAGCATAAAAGACGGAAGTCGAATCCGAACCCGTTTCGCGTAAACGGTTCAGAATCGATTTGGCGAAATCGTGCATTCTGGCACGAACGAGGATGTGGGCTGTGATGCAGTACAAGTGAGTTATGTGACTCGGCTCCAAACCGGGCTGACTCACTACCCATTTCAAGAATTTCAAAGCTAACCTTCCGTGGACTGGTCTCAACGAGGATGTTCTGTATTTCATGCAATTCAACGACTCCCAACGGTCAATTGTCAGAATTGAATACACACTTTTATCCACTTCTTCACCTGTTCAACCACAAACAATTATAAAGAAAAATTAAACTTTTCATATACAGAGAGAGACTTTTATCTACTTCTTCACCTGTTCAACCACAAACAATTATAAAGAAAAATTAAACTTTTCATATACAGGAGAGAGAGAGAGAGAGAGAGAGAGAGAGAGAGAGAGAGAGAGAGAGAGAGAGAGAGAGAGAGAGAGAGAGAGAGAGAGAGAGAGAGAGAGAGAGAGAGAGAGAGAGAGAGAGACTTTTATGTACTTCTTCACCTGTTCAACAACAAACAATTATAAAGAACATTGAACTTTCCATATACGAGAGAGAGAGAGAGAGAGAGAGAGAGAGAGAGAGAGAGAGACCAGGAGTTTGTGGGTGGGCAGAGGAAGCGGATTCTTCAAATTTATGATATTTTCTTGAAAATCTTCGGAAACATCTAAGCGCGGGGGAACTCTGATTCTCGATGAATTTTTGGGTGAAAGATGACATTTTGGGGTTGTTTTAGAACTCAAGGGCGAAGAAGCCATGGCGCTACTTCTGCTGTTTCTCTTGGTCGGAGCTCTTTCATTTTTAGTTTTGGGCTTTTGGTTCCTGGTACTAGAGTAATTGGCATTTTGCACCCTCAAATTGCTTGTCATTGGCACTATGCACCCTTAAATTATAAAAATGGCAGAATGCACCCTTCAATTATAATTAGTATTGCAAACTGCACCCTGATTTCCTTCTTGGTTCAAAAAGTGACCCGCAACTTGTTTTGCTAATTTCAAAAAGGGGGCAGATTTTGAAAATTATAGATTTAGGTAGTGTTTGCAAAAGCTTATTTAAAAGCAGAAGTTAGTAATTGTGAGTTAAGTTGGAATTAAGTGATTATTTCTAAAAGTTGAGGTGTTTGTGAATTAATTGGAAAATCAAATAGAAAAACATGTACATGCGTGCTTTTAAAATTTATAGCTTAAAACAGTTTATTTTAAGAGAAACAAAAGCAAAAACTTATTTTGCAAACACCTAAAAATAAATTATGTGCATAATCAATCTCATAATCTATTTGTAAAAGCATTTGCAAACACCACCTTAGCCTAATATCAATTGAAGTTAAACCCATGAGGTATGCTAAAATAACTTTAAGGTCTCTGTAGTATCGGTAATTACAATCACCCCCTGAAACATGTTAGAAACATTGACGGAATAATGCATTGGATAAGTTATTCTGTTAGGGTTCTAACGAACAATTAATTTCACGCAGTGATAGAGACGACATAGAGTTATGGTGTGATATGACTCTCTTAACATTTCTTAAATCCTTATCATTTTACATAAGATCTATAATTTTTTCGTCTATGGTAGCATTAACGAACCAGCAGAAAACAAATATAGTGCATATCGGTCACCAAGACATAAAATTCTATCTCCGGTAATTGTTTAAGGGGTGTGGTTGTAATTACCAATACCATAGAGACCTTAAGTTATTTTAGCATACCTCGAGGTGTAGGCGTAATTTATGCTAATTGAAGGGTGACTTCTGCATTTTTGTAATTTTAAGTATGCATAGTGCCAATAACATGTAATTTGATGGTGCAAAATGCCAATTACCCCTAATACTAGGCAGAACGAATTTATATTTCCTTATAATTATATTTTAGCCCTTAATCTTTGTTCAAGTTACATATATGGCCTATGAATTATATGCCACTATTCTTCTTCACTTATATTTTATCAGTACTAATTAATTAATAAAAAACTTCATAGAGTTAAGATTATAAGTAAAAAAACACATATATTTATATAATACAAACGAAAGCTGAAATTTGGAATTGAAAAAATTATATAGACAGAATAAAATCATAAATAATTATGCAATACAAAAGTATAATTATTATTCAATTTACACACAAGACCAAATCATTATTCCAAAGGAATAAAAAATCTTATATATAAAACGAAGATATTTTGAACTAAAACCTAAACCTAAACCTAGGGGTATTTTAGTCATTTTCTAATCTCAATTTTTACTCTATATTTACCCGTCACACCACACCGCACCACACCACGTACATATCATACCATTATCTTTTATTATCCTTTTTTTTCTCCTATTAGTTTTGCACACGTTCACTATTTATTATTTATATTAGATTTTTTCCTATTAAAAATTATGCACGTTCCATAATACAATATACAATATATAATATATAATATAATAAATTAATTTTAGGATTTTTCTTCTTAACAAAAATCTGCCACATCCACGGGAAAATAAAACAATGTCCTATTTTGTGGTTACCCACTAAGAAATCAGTTTATCAATCTTAACTCCCACAGCCCTATATAAACTATTCCTTCTACATAAAATATTCCTCCATTAAAAATTATTTCTTCAAGAACAATATTTCTCCCACATAAATTATTTTTTCCCCACAAAAATTATTATTATACTTACAGATTATGAAAAAACCTAATAATGATGGTGTACCATTTTCAAAAGTTTTGTTAGGCATTTTTAGAATTCTTTCCGACGGCTTTTAATCTCTTTCTACTACATTTTTTCTCTCCATGTTTTTCTCTTTCGAGAATTTGTTCTCTTTTTACTGTTTTCTCCTTTTATTGTTTTCAATTTAATCTCTTTTAATTTATTCTTTTTTTTTTTTGACTAATTTTTTTGACCGGCATTAAATTTGTTTTCATCTTTTCTATAGGAATTTGCAGCTGCAATATATCGCACTTATTCAAGTACGCCACAATTGTTAGTTAAAGATTTTTGCGCTAAAATTGGCGTATTTGTGTTAATTTCAATCTTCGTTTCATTATTTGTATGTGTTAAACGATTGTGTTGCTTTTGCAATTGTAATACCGGTCCAAATTATATAGAAATCTCATCAGATGAAGATGAGGATAAATTATACTCTGACAATCGTTGCCTACAAATAACGGATGCGGGATTTTAATCCATCTACAATGAAAATAAAAATGATGAAAAGGGGAAGGCCACGAAATCATCGATCCAATTTCGTACGAAACCACGATGCAGAGTAATCCGACCATCATAAAGGATCAAGTTCGTATACGACATGAATGATGAGTACAGTGATTGGTCGAATGAGACACATATGTCAGACTCTGCAAGTGATCGCAAATATTATGATGGCAGTGACGAGACTCTCTCAGTGATCGCAAAGATTCTGATGGCAGTGAATCGGATTAGCTTGATCGAAAAGATATTTATATTTTCTTAGATGTTTTTCTTTTCTCCTGTTTTTTGTCCTTTTAATTTCTTTCATTTTTATAATGTTCAAACTATTACTTTTGTAATGCAATTATTGTAGATGAAGTATTCTATTATTTTATGTTTACATATTATTAGGATATATTTCCCGTCCAGATTTTTAGTTTTTTTTCTCTCTTTTAATCAATTTCTGGAATTTATTTCTCATTTTGCATTAGATTGTTTGCTTAGTACTACTATGTATTAGTGGAGATGTAAAATTAAACCATAGTATAGTTTATGAGATTTTATGTAGAACTATAATATATCAAAAGATTGTTTCTTTTAATCAAATAATATTTTTTATATATTTTAAAATCAAACTATAGTATATGATTATGCATTAAAACATATTTTAATGATATATTTTAAATTAATTGTAGGGCTAATATTGTAAATCATCGGACTTTAATTATAAAACAATTTTTTTAACATAAAAATGAGATTCCTAAATGATTAGTATTATAATTATAATTTATTTACTATATTATTAGTAACAATTATGAAACAACTTTTTTAACATAAAAATAATTATCCTAAACGATCAGTATTATAATTTATTTACTATATTATTAGTAAATGAAATAAGTATTATATGGTCAACTAACTAAGTTTTCTTAATAATATAGTATTAACTTGCTTGATCCACGTCAATATATAAATTGAACATTATATATAACTTCCACGTTATATATATCTATAACCGATCACATTATATATAACCAATCACATTATATATAACTTCCAACTTACTTTTCAACTCCTCCATTACAATGTATTAGTATTAATATTTCATATTTTCCTCCATTAATATCTCATTTTCAAACATCTTGCACATCAAGAGTTTCACATTGTTTAAATCTTTCATGGCAATGACTTTTCGTTTTCATCTCAACAGTTGCAAACTTATGTTTGTTGCACTATAAGTAGTCTACTACCAAATCTTTTTTTTCCCAGACACTTCCCCAAAAAATTCAATGATCGAACATCTAACGATAAAGACGGCTATTCACTCTACAAGAGAAGGAATAATGGCAGGGTAGTCAGAAAAGTAAAAAAATGATGTTGATAATAGATTTGTGATTCCTTATAATCCATATCTGATGAAAAGGTACAAGGCGCATATAAATGTTGAGTGGTGCAACCAATCAAGATCAATCAAGTATCTTTTCAAGTACATCAACAAAGGTCATGATCGTGTTACTGCAAGTTTTTTATGGAACCGGAGCAGAAAATTACGATGAGATTAAGATGTACTATGATTGTAGATACTCATCACCATGTGAAGCAGTGTGGCGAATATTTATGTTCGATGTTCATTTTAGAGAACCGGCAGTTGAACGTTTGCCTATTCACCTGCCCAATGAACAAATTGTATGTTTTGATGGTGACGAGCCTCTTGAATCGGTTGTTGAAAGACCACATGTACAAAGATCAAAGTTTCTAGCATGGATGGAGGCAAACTCTACATATAATGAGGCAAATGGTCTTACTTATGCAGAATTTCCGACGAAATTTGTCTGGAAACAGCCTTTACGTGCGTGGACTCCTCGAAAGAAAGGATTTTCGGTGGGAAGAATTCATTATGTAGCCCCAGGAAGTGGTGAATTATATTATTTGAGAATCTTACTCAACATAATTAAAGGACCTTCTTCTTATACCGAGTTAAGAACCATCAATAATATTGTTTATCCTACGTTTAGAGATGCTTGCTATGCAATTGGTATGTTAGATGATGATAAGGAGTACATAGATGGTATTGAAGAAGCCAGCCAATGGGGTTTTGCGAAGTTCCTATGAAATATGTTCACAACTTTATTATTGTCGAATCAAATGACACGGCCTGAAAATGTTTGGGATAAAACATGGCATTTCTGAGTGATGATATCATGCGCATGCAAAGAACTTTACTCCAACGTGAAGGTAATTATTCATATATTTTGAATTATTTTATATATTAATTTATTAACATAATTTTTATTTTGTCTTTCATTTATTCTGCATCCATTGTGGCTAATTGAGAAAGAAAATTTTTATATCTTAAATTTGGAGCTTGATGAAGATGATTTGAAAAATTTTGCACTTATGGAAATTGAAAATAAGCAGCAGAGTAGTAATAAGAGTCTAGCTGATTTTCCAACAATGTCGTTCCCAAACATGTCGCATCTCCCACAAATTCAAAATAGACTTATCTATGATGAACTCAATTATGACATAAGTGCATTGGTTGCGGAACATTTGGAGTTATTGTCAAGTATCAATGACGAACAAAGGGTTATCTATGACAAAATAATTGCACGAGTAAATGAGAATTGTGGTGGTTTATTTTTCGTTTATGGTTACGGAGGTACTGGCAAGACATATATTTGGAGAACGCTT